GTCACAACATTCAATTTTTAGCTAAGGCAACAGCTGTTGTTGCTAGCCTTATCATTGTCCTAGGGCTCGTAGTCTCTCTCCAATCCGATCTATCCTGTGTAATCCCTTTGAAATCATGCTTGGAATCCAGTTAGCACTTTTGACCTCACTCAGCAGGGTTCGTTTTAGGGTTTCTTTTGATGTTCTCGTTTCGTCTTCTTCTTCATTTACTTTTCTCTACTCCTGGAATGCCTCACGGTGTGAGGGCAGGGAGAGATCTCTGGAACAGGCCCTTTTTTCGCTTTGTATAAAGTACTATTCAGTGCTTCAGATACTTCTGCGGTCCATATTTTGCGTGGTCGACCCCTGGATCTGTTACCGTTGTATCTGTATAACATTGCTCTCTGTCGTACCCTATCTTATGCCAATCTAGTTATATGGGCAGACCATTTGACTTGGTTTCTACCTTGTTCTGTGCAGACTTTCCGCCTAAACATATTCACGTTACGCTTGTATCTGTATAGCACTGCTCTCTGTGGTATCCTGTCTGATGTCAATCTTGTTACATGGCCAAACAATTTGATTTTGTGTCTAACTATAAAGTTCAGTCTGGTTCTGTGCCGACTTTTTGCCTGAACATACTCGTTTGATTACCCCCTTTATTTCTCATTTTGTTATCGCTGTGGTTTCTAGTGATTGCTCACATATTTCTTTTTAGAATTTCATTTTATTTAAGGTCTAGCCCTATGTGCCCTAAAGGCGTGGAAAAAGGTCCTTTACTTTTTACTAGTCCCAGTAACACTGGTTGAAGAACACTGCTATAAAGTAATTTATTTTAGTATTGATTTAGGTCTTTCATCTCCATTAGCAGTGCTTCTCATCGATGACAGTTGCATTAATGACCTGCTATAAATGCCCAGATTTATATTTAGGTTCTTTTCAACTTTTTTATCCCACCTTGGCGGATGCGAGATTTGTTTGGGAATTCCTAGGGAATCACTTCACAGCCCGGAGATTATATCTGCTTTGAAACTACCTTTCGTCAGAAACGTGTTAAAGTGATTTTATTGAACTTTTCCGCACATAACTTCTTCATCACTTGTATTCTTGATATCTAGACAATCAAACAACGCATGAGCTGCTTGACATTTCCAGTCATCGAAGTATCTGACAACAGGAAGATTCTGCTTACATGTATATCAGTACTTTCAATAGTGATGAGTGATAATTGTTTCTGCTTACATCTCTTAGTGGTATCATTCTCCGCTACCTGTGTTTTTCCATCTTTTATTAGATAAGAAATGGCGTCTGTGGCTTAAGCGTTGCGAGTCCGACTCGTAATTCCAACATACCGCGATCGAAACCCACCGCTGACTGCGTGGTTTTTTATAATGGTATGGATCGTCGCAGGTCGACCCAGCCTAAAATGGGTACGAGGATGAGCTGTCCTGAGGAAGTAAAGACGGCCGGAGTAATGCTGACCACATTACCCACCTAGTGCCGATGGGTTTGTAAAAATATGGAATGCTCTTCCCATTTACTCGATGCGTCTAAGGCGTGAAAAAGCATATTCACTTTATTAGAGAAGAAGTTGTTACATTACAATGCATGCTTAGATTCGTTGTACGTGATTTAGCAATAACACTGTCTCGTTAACACTTCACTAATTTGTCGGACTCAAGAAGCTAAACAAGTCATTTATAGTATGTTCTTTTAAATGGATGCGAGTGTTGGATTCTCGTTGCAGATTCAGAACAGAAAAAGCTTTAGGAAAATGACTTACATAAGGTGTGGGGAAAATTGTGTACCTTACTGGGACGACGTATGTACACGTGCAAGCTATCAAAAACCACGTTCTAAACGTCTTAAGTTTTAGAAATGTGGACATGACAAACGACATAATACTCTTTGAAACGTAATCTTTAAGGAACAGTGAAAGAAAAACGGAGTCGTCCTCAGAAAACAAAAATCAAGGACTTTAAAGAGCTGAGAAGGTAAACTAGACACTAGTGTATGTTGCCGAGGTAAGAAAGAGAACAAGTGAGAGAGGGGAGAGCGAAAAGAGGACCAGAAGTTGATCTATAGATTGAAAGACGGGGTTCGGTTACTGACGAAGGCAGGATTTTTTCAGAAATGAACTTGGGTCCCAAGTCGACCCAGGCTTGAGTGGGTACCAGGTGCAGTCCTGAGAAGTAAAGGCGGCTGGCGTGATGCTGACCACATTACCCACAAAGTGTCGTTTGGTCTATAAAATATAGGTCTAGGCCTATCTACCCAATACGCCTGAAAGCGTCAAAAGGGTCCTCTACTTTATTTTACAGTGGGGGCAGGGAGAGAGGGGATAGAGAGATAATAGGTAGAGAGAGAGAGAGAGAGAGAGAGAGAGAGAGAGAGAGAGAGAGAGAGAGAGAGAGAGAAGAGAAAGAGACGGAACCATGATGACTAACGCTTTAATCATGATACAGTAGTGCCTCGGCTCGCGATCTTAATTCGTCCCTTGACCCTGTTCGTGACAGGAATTGTTCGCAAATCGAAACAATATTTTTTTCAAATGAAACTAATACTGATCAAAATAATTTATTCGCCGGCCCCATTTTTTATTTCGACTTTTTTTTTATAGACATATGTGTGGTAAAAATGTAAAATAAAAAATATACAGTATAACTTTACCTTTGTAGGTAATAGCTGCTGGCACATGTAGATGGTAGTGGAGGAAGAGGAGAAAAACTACTCAATTCAGGAATCTATAATGTATTTGTCGGCTCTGTGGCTAAGTCGATGCGAACACTTCGCTTCGTAATGCCGGGATGCCAGGTTCGATCCCAGCTGCGGGCAATGCGCCTTGCGTTGGTTTCGACAGTGGTATCAAGAAAGCCGACCGTCCAGGAAGCAATGGCAAACTACTGGACGTAAATTTGCCTAGAGAAACCACACAACAGCCAGGGGCTGTTAGGGTTGGTTCTGCAACGTCCTCTAGAGGATACGCAACAACCTTTTTTTGATAATGTATTTAACAATAAACGAGTACCGCAATCTTATACCGAGCCTGTTCTGATGTATGGCAGTGAATCTTGGAATACGAGCGAACAAATGTTGAAGAGTTTGGAGGCAACTGAGATTTGGTTCTTGAGAAGAATGCTACGAATACCTTGGACTGTCGGAATAACCAACAATAATTGCCTGGAAATGGTTAATAAAAGTAGCGCATTATATACAACAATGAGAAGGAAACAAAGTTATTTAGTCATGTGATAAGAACAGGAGCACTGGAAAATATCGTGACGATTGGAAATATGACTGGTAGAAAAGACAGAGGTAGACCCAAAAAAAAATGATGGTGGATGGCTCAAAACAGTGGCATAGAGGAATATTATCAGTGGAACTGATCCAGAACACCAAAGACCGAGATTTGTGAAGATTCATCATCGACTATCTAGCTGGCAAGGCACTTGATGATGATGATTCAACGACACACTGGCTGGTTCACATTCTCGTTAAAAATAAACTGGAAAATCCCTAAATGTTTGATGGCAAAATAGTCCAGACATCAAGTTTGTATGTAGGAAGACGTGGAAATGGGAAACCCCAGGAGTGAAAACAGGAATGGGAGGGAGTTTATTTGAGTTGTTTTATAGATCTGGGGAATTTTCCTAGTTTGCAGATACTGAATACATGGTAAAGATGTGTGGAAGGAGAGCAAAGAATTAGGAACAGTTTGGGGAGTTTTCAGGCAAATTATTTGTTTGATCCAAATGCTTCATCATCATCATGTCTATTGCCGACTGGCGTGGGCGATCATTGACAGGTCGCTGCCATGAGGATTTTTTATAGGGGGGGGGGAGTGGCGTGGGGGGGGGGGGGTGAGCTAAGAATGTAGCTAGGATTAGAAACAGTTTGGAGGCATTCGGTTAAATTCTTTGATGCAAATGCTTCATTATCAACTAGTACCTTGCCGACTGACGTGGGCGATTGCTGACAGAAGGGCCGCCATAAAGATTAGGGGGGGGGGGGGTAGTGCGGGGGAAGGATACTTAATGAATTAACTGCCAAGAAGCATGAATTTAAGGCACTAGACAATGACGATGGCGATGATAAATATTTGTGAGGATATGTAATCTAAAGTGTAGTAGTAGAAGATTTTACCCCACTAGGACATCACATAAGTGATGAACACCATATTTATGGCCTGGCTACATAGGGGCCGCCCCTGACAAGAGCCAGTTTTGGATTTCATAGTAACGCAAAATTGCATCCCATAAAAATCTAGCTAGTAACGTACCATGGTGTACTGACTGACTGACTTTCTACCCCACCAAGACATCACACAAGCGATAAACACCCAATGACACAAAGTGCCACCATGCGGATGAGGGTCACCGTGGAGAGGTCCCAGAAACCGCGTTCAGACATTTGGCCATAATGATGACCTGCCTATATTGCGGCCCCTGGCAAAAGCCAGAGTGGGGCTTCAAATAACAAAAAATAACGTCCTAAGAAGGACGTAATAAGTTATTGCACCCTGTAAAGTGTATGAATGAATGAATGAATTTCTACCCCACCAGGACATCACACAAGCGATAAACACCCGATGACACAAAGTGCCACCATGCGGATGAGGATCGCCGTGGAGAGGTCCCAGAAACCGCGTTCAGACATTTGGCCATATTTATGGCCTGCCTATATTGCGGCCCCTGGCAAAAGCCAGAGTAGGGCTTCAAATGACAAAAAATTTCGTCCTGAAAAGGACGAAACTGGATACTATCTAGTAACAATGTAAAGTGTATGACTGACTGACTGACTTTCTACCCCACTAGGACATCACACAAGCGATAAACACCCGATGACACAAAGTGCCACCATGCGGATGAGGATCACCGTGGAGAGGTCCCAGAAACCGCGTTCAGACAATTGGCCATATTGATGGCCTGCCTATATTGCGGCCCCTGGCAAAAGCCAGAGTGGGGCTTCAAATAAGAAAAAATTACGTCCTGAGAAGGACGTAAGTAAGTACTAATGTATGT